GCAAGCTGGGCTCAGGAGAGGGGGGGGCCTCCCAGCAAAGCCATGGTCCCAGAGGAACCACAACCCCGGCCAGGACTGTGGGCAGGCGAGAGGGCAGGCAGCAGGGGATGGGCAAGAAAGAGCCTGGCTCCTCTTTCCTTCCCTGCCAGGACCCCTGCTGGCCAAACCCAGCCCAAAACAAGAGGTCGGGAGCCCTGGTGATGCCGTCAGCACCCTGGGCCTGGGGCAGCTTAGCCAACAACACAAGAGGCAAACAAAATCACCCATCTGGTTCACCTGGGATCCCCCGAGGACAGTGAGGCCTTACGTCTGCGGCTTTATGGCCACCTCTGTCCCCGCCTGCGGCCAAATAGTAACTGACAGGGAAGGAAATGCAAGACTCCCTGTGTGACAGAAATGGTCCGGCTCACAAGGAAGGTAGAGATCCAGGCAGAAAGAAGGTAGAAGGACAGCGGGCCGCCTGGGCCGGGGCGGGGGTGGGGGGGCGGGGGAAGTGCCCCTAAGCACAGGGAGAGGCAAGGAGGGCAGCATCGGGGGCAAGTGACAAATCATTGTCATCTTGTTCCTGCCCCCGCCCCCCCCAGTTCTAGACGATGAGCCCCTGTGGGGCAGGAATTTCGTCTTGTCCGTCCTCCATACCCAGCCTGGTGCCTCTTAGGTGCATAGTGGGAATGTGTTGAATAAATCAGTGGCTAACAAGTAGATGAACGAACAAGCTGATTCACCGCTCAGGTGCACGCCCCCGGGCCCTCGTCACGTAGCATTGGTGAATGAGTAACACACAACACTCGGATTTTTCCATGCAGCTGTTCGGTCCCGGGATGCTCGAGCCCCCGGGACAACTCCAAATTGGCCAGAGGCTCTGCTTTGATAGCACCTGTTCAAACGCGCAGGGACTTCACTTGGCAGCTCTTGATGAGGGAATAGGGGCAACGGCAGGTTACTTCATTTCGCACAGCAGCCCTCCCGCGAGCTCCTTCTCGGGAGAAATCCTGATCCATGGCAAACCGCCTGTGGTATTCCCGGCTGCAGCCTTTGGCAGGAGATGGGAGACAAGAATGACAGTGCCAAGGAGGCCGCTGAAGTATCGTCACCCTGGGAGCCACAGCTCTGGCTTGCTTTTTCCAATGGGCCATAAAGACTGAGGGAGGCAGGGGGAAGGGGAGGGGGGTCAGCGGAAAAACAAACTGGGGTTCCCAGGTGTAGTCACCGTGCCAAGCCCCCCTGGGGCGGTGACTCCGCATAGACTGCTTCGTAATCCTTGTTCTGCCACTTGCCGGCTGTGCAACCCTGGGCAAGACACTCCATTACCATGCCTCAGTTTCCCCATCTTCCAAGGCATGTGGAGAACACTAATACCTACTTCAGATGGTGGTAGAGAAGAGTAGATGAGTTAGCAGTCGTGAAACGTTTCTCCGAGTTCCTGGTCCATAGTAAGCCCTACGTGAGTGTCATTACCTCAAATCAAGCAGGACACTTGGGTTCTAGCCCCACAAACTTCCTTTTCCTGGAAAAAGGCCAGCTGTGGATACCGCTCAGGTTTGTTGTGACAAGGGAACTAATGCATGGGAAAATTATAAGTTGTGAAAATTTGTTGTCATCGACAGCACGTAAGCGACCCGATTTAGCAGGAGGCAGGGAGGGTCATGAAACCACGGTCCCTCATCAACTTCTGATTATCTGCCTCGTTGAGGTCCCCTTCTTGTCGATGTCATCAGCTCTTTGGCTTGTTCAAGTCTTTGGTTGACAACATCCAGGCCTCTCGTGGGTCCCTCCCACAGAGCAAGGGCTGGGCGGTAACGGCTGGTTTCCCTTCCCACCCACGGGGCAGGTAGAGCCAGGGGACACAAGCTGTGAGAGAGGGGCGACACCTCCGACTCGGCCTGCTTTCCTCTGAGCAGGAGGGTGCGGGCCGAGCAGGGGCAGGACAGGGGAGGGTGGCCAGTTCCTTTGTGCCAGGGCCTCAGAAAGAGTGGTATTTGTCTTGATCATGGAGAGCTGGAATGAAAACAAATACACATCCCAGAGTCCAGTGCAAATGTTCCGCCACTTATGGCTGTGTGTGTGATTCTAAATCGTTGCTGAGCCTCTGAGTCTCGGTTTTTCTCATCCTCAACATGGGGATAATTTTACCTCATTAAAAGGGTAAAAATCAGTGATATCTATAAATCCCTTGGCAGATGGCTGGTCCAATAACTGGGAGCTATTTTAGCTAACATTTTGCATTATCCGCTCACCACTGCCTCCAAGGAATGGACAAGTGTGACTTCCACACCAGGAAAGGTGGTGAGCAGCACAAAGTGATCTATACCTCCGATGTTTACAGTTTCTTTCCAGAGCACATCCTGAGTACTAAGTGTGCATTCCTTCATTTGTTCAATAAGTGTTGCGGAATTTGTACAACTTCATTTTGTTCACTTGTCTTTATCGGACTGTCACCACTGGAACTGCAAGGTCCATGAGGCAGGGGCAGTGTCTGAGGAGTTCACTGGATGCCTGATGAATAGTTGCTAAAAGAGTGAACAGATGGAGCGCAAAGCACATCTGCAAGACTGAAATGGGTCAGGTGAGGAGGTAGAGGCCTGAGGCCTGCATTTCGGCCTCGGTCATGCCTCCAAAACGTTCTCTTGACCTGGAGCCTCCACAGACCTTCCTTCAGCTGTGAGATACTGGAGGAACCTTTTCCCCAGTGGGAAGACATCCATTCATCTACTTAGGTGTCTCTGAAACACCTGGAGAAGGGGCTGAGTCCCCCAGCCTGAGGAGTACGGCAAGTGTCCAAAATAATAATGATAAAAAAGGAATTGATAAGAGCGCCTGCATGACTCAGTCGGTTAAGCATCCAACTCTTAGTTTTGGCTCAGGTCATGATCTCAGGGTCGTGGAATCGAGCCCTTTGTTGGGATCTGAGCTCAGCTCAGAATCTGCTTGAGATTCTTTCCCTTTCCCTCTTCCTCCCGCTCTGCCCCTCCCGCTTATGCACTCCCTTCTGTCTCTCTCTCTCTCTCTCAAATAAATAGATAAAATATTTTTTTAAAAAAGGGGAACTGATAGAGAATGGAAGGAGTAGCCCCTTCTAAGTAACCTAACAGGGGGAGGAAAATTCCAGCTTAGTAATATGTAATTAACACGAAACAAGACATGACCTGCTTTCCTGGGTATTGGGTGCTCCCACAGGTGAGCCGCACCCATGCTTGCCCACAGACCTCATTCTGTGTGATCCAGGCTGTCTAGAGACATAAAAGTAAAGGGAGAATCATAATATCCAAAAGGTGGAAACAACCCAAGTATCCATCAACTGATGAGTGGATAAACAAGATGTAGCCTAGCCACACACTGGCATATTATTCAGCCATAAAAAGGAATGAGACACGGAAGTATTGATACCCTCTGCACCAGGGAACGCCCTTGCAAACGTGATGCTAATGTGATGTGAAATTGGCCACACATTATGATTCCCTTCACATGAAAGTCAAGAACAGGGAAATCTACAGGGACAGAAAGCAGATTAGAGGTTGCTTGGGGCTTAGAAGGGGGGATGGGGGACGTGGGGGTGACAACTAAAGGGTATGAGATTTCTTTTGAGGTAATGAAAATGTTCTCAAACTGTGCTGATAGTTGCACATAGCTGTGAATATACTAAAACCACCAAATGACACACTTTAATGGCGCATTGTATGGTACGTGAATTCTCTCTCAAACTTGTTTAGAGAGAGAGCACGAGAAGGGGTAGGGCCTTTGAGAGGGAACAGGAGGGCCGTGGTCAGAAACAAAGGCCAAGGCCAGTCAGTCCTGGCTGCCCCCCCCAAACCAGAGCCTGCAAGTCACCCAGGCAGTGTCATGGTAGCCCCCAAGCCATGACTCGGGAAGATAGATTGGCCCCAGAAGGTATGGGGCTGGGTCTCTTCTCCTCTGACAGCTCCCTCTCTGTGTTTTTTCTGGCACAAGAAACATTCTGTCTTCTTGTATAAATACGGGAAATTTATGATACTTTTCCCCCTTCTCCTCCCTGGTGGGCTCCTCAGACGGGGCCTAGGGGGAGGAGGGAGATATAAATGTGGAAAGACTTGAAGGAGTCAGGGATCTTGGCTCCAGCCCCCGCTCTCCTTTCTTTCTGCGTGTTTGACCATCTGGGTGAGGAGGCGGCGGGAGAAAAGGTACAGGTCCGGGGAGGCAGCTCTCCGAGGCAGATATCCAACGGGAGGGGCACGGGGGAAATTAGGGAAACATGGCTTGGCTATCCTGAAGCATTATCAGATGAGAGACAGGCCCCCTGCCTGGTTTGGGTTATTTCTGTCCTTGCTGCTTGTTGAGGCAACTGATATGGTGGAAAGAGAATTCATCTTGGATTCAGAAAATTAGAGAAGAACTAAGTAGGTGACCTTAAGCAAGTCACTTCCTCTCTCTGAGCCTCATCTCTAGTAAAAGGGGCGGGGAGGATTAAACTTATCAGGGGGTTAAAACTGGTGTTAGCGATGGGGCCCTGTTTTCAAAAACAATCTAAAGCAGCAAGCCAACATCTAACAGGTGTCCCGGTGAGTTTCTTGGGTTGAAGGGAGGGTGAGAGGATGAGAGATGCCCAGGCCCCTGTCATGACTGTGATGGGGTTTGGCCAAGCATGAGATGATCTCCAAGGTCCCCTCTTTCTTCATCTGCAGGAGGGACTTAGAGAGCTCAGGCTCTGCACACTCCGGGGTTGGGACCACAGTTCCACCACTTGCTGTGTGTCCACGGGCACATCACATAGCTCCTTCGGGCCTCAGTTTCCTCACTTGTAAATTAGAATAACAGTGATCCCTATCTCGGAGGACTGTCATGGGGATGATAATAACCAACATGCATAATATCTGGCACTCCATAAATGTCACTATTAGAACTAGTCCATGATCCGATGTAATCCTGGGGTGGGGGGGTCGGAACTGACAAAGCTGGTGTAGGAAAGGACATCAGGAAGGACGAAGGCAACACTGCCGGAACAAAAAGGCCCCAAAACACAGTCGCACATAGAAACCAAGTTTATTTCTCATGTAACAGTCTAGATGGAGCAGTTCCAGAGCAGGCAGCTCTGCTCCACCTGGTCGATCAGAGATGGGCTTCCTTCCATGTTGTTGCTCTGCTCTCTCTCAGGGATTCCTCCTCAACTGCAGGATCAAAGCTCAGTCTCAGGTGAGTCAGGTCCAGCTCGTGAAAGGACTCAGTGTCTTAAGGCTCTGATGACATTCCTTGGCTCCCATTCCCCTGTGGCCACACCTGGCAGCCAGGGCAGCCGGGAAATGGGGTGTCCAGCTGGGAGGCTCTCATGGAGAGAAGGGATTTTATCGAACAACTAACGGTCTTAATCCAGGGCTCAGACCCACACCTGGGCCACCCTCTTCCTCTTCGCCTCTCAAAGGAGGGGAAATAGAGACCACAGTCCAGAAAACAATGTGATCCCCATGAGGTTGCTGTGATCCCCAATGGCCATCCCTCCAAGAACTGCTGCCGCAGGACAGTGACTTGGAGGCCTTGCTCCAGAGAGAATACCCTTCTATCCATCTTCTTCACAAAGATGTGAGACGAGATTCTGCCCCACTGCCCACCTGCCCCTTTCTCATGGTCTTGTCCCACTCTCCACCCCTGTTCCCCATCACTAAGTGTGACTACAAATGTGGGGGTGCAGTAGGAATGGAAGGCAAGACCCAGGCAGGGAGGCCATGCTTTGCAGGCAGCTCGGGCAAATCCAGCTACCAAATGTGTGACCTGAAATGGGGAAGCTGTCTGAGCTGCAAATGACTCTTCTAGAAACAGGAATAAGAAGCTTACTTGTCAGGGTTGTTGTGAGCATTACACAGGATAATATACCATCTATAATATCTGTACCCGGCACAGAGGAGGCCCTCAAGAAAGGGGAAGTGATTTTACTAGGCGCCAGCAAAGCAAGCCTGATCCCTGTCCCCTGGCCTCACCCAGCCTTTGCATGGTCTCCCCCGCCTCCCCTGCCTGGGCCAGTGTACCACTCCCTCCCTCTTCTTTACCTCCCATCCTCATTCCCTTCCCACCTGAATCCTGATCTGTGCTTTCCACCTCCAGCAAGTCTTGCCCGACTAAAACATTCCCACTCGGCCCCTTCCCACCCCCAGCCCTCACACCCCACCCCTATCTGCTCACTGCCCCATGGTCCTGGCCTCCAACTTTCCACAACTTTCCATGCGGCCTGCCTCTCCCTTCCCGGGCACCCCCCCCCCCACTTCAGGAAGTGGGCAGCCATGTTGGGGGTTCAGATTGGTTATCGAGCAGATCAGAGTTCAGATTCCAACTTCACCACTTTCTAGTTTTTTTTTTTTTAAGATTTATTTATTTATTTTGAGAGAGTGAGAATGAGAGAGAGAGAGAGCACGAGAGGGGGGAGTTGCCAGAGGGAGAAGCAGGCTCCCCGCTGAGCAGGGAGCCCGATGCGGGACTCGATCCCGGGACTCCAGGATCATGACTTGAGCCGAAGGCAGTCGCTTAACTGACTGAGCCACCCAGGCGTCCCCACCACTTTCTAGTTTTATGACTTTGGCAAGTCACGTCTCTTTGGAACCCTCTGGAGGGGTTGGGCATGTGGGGGCTGGTACATAGCTCAAGGGGATTTAGGAAACATCAGTCTCCTCTGCTCTCCCCCACACTCCCCAGCCCACACTCCAGGGACTGACTCTCTACCAAAGGGAGGTATTAGACCAGGAAAGTAATTCCTCCACCAAGGCCCTTTTTGGGAGCCGGGGTGGGGGGGGAGGAAGAAGGGACTTCCCCTTGAAGTCTGTGGGCACTGAGCAGGACCGTCAACCCAAGAGCCACAGCAGAGGCCAAGAAAGAACTCGGGCACCCCAGCCCCCTCACTCTCCTACCCTTATCACATACACCCCAGTTGTTAGACACATTCAGGGATGCGGGTGAGCGGGTTGATCTGATCAGGGTCTTAGAGAATCCATGGAGCTCTTAACCTCTAAGAGGTTCCATGCCTCTATCTCCAACCTTCCCGGATCAGAAAAGCAACATTAATAACTAATGTTTATACGGTGCTCCCCAGTCCACTGACATTGTTCTGGGCACTTCACACACAGACTCACTTAGTCTGCACAGCAGCCTATGGTCTAGGACCATTAATTCCATTTTGCAGATGAGGAAACTGTCCTCTGGAGAGGTTAAGTAACTTGCCCAAGGTCATACAGCTAGCCTAAGGCAGGGCTGAGATTCAAAACCAGGCACTGAGGCTCCAGAATCCAGAATCTGCTGGAATAAGAGCATTCACTGGTAGTTTCTAGGGGCAAGTACTGTGGAAAACGTATCACATGTATTTCATTTAATCCCAAACACCCCCCTGGGATAGCTACTGTTCAGTTTTACAGAAAAAGAAAGTTAAGACAGAGACAAGTTAGGCAACTTGCCGCAAGTCCCACAGCTAGATAGCTTCAGAACCCCTAGCTGCTTTGCCCCACAATCTCCCACCCTTACCCCCAGCTCCTCCTTCTCTAGATGGGTCTTAGCACCTTCCTTGACAAATCTGCTTTACCCCCACAGTCCACAACCACTCCCCTTCACTTCTGTCCCTTTCCCTCCCCGCTCCTCCTGCCACTCCCCTACAGTCCCCCCTCCCCCACTGTGACCTACAAACCTTTCGGTCCCTCTCCCTCAGCTCCCTCTGCCCTTTCCCACAGTTCCCACAGAATCAGATATATTTCACCAAAAAAAAAAAGAAAGAAAGAAAGACCATCGGCCATTCCCCAGTCAGGCCCCCACTGCGCCTAGATCTCGAGCCCCCAGGGGAGGCACCGCAGTGGCTAAATTGGAGAGTCAGAAATAAAACCCTCAATCTACTCCCCTGCCCCCACTTCCCATCACTCATCTGGGAATCCAGGGCGAAGACGGAGCTAAAGTGCAGAGCGTTCATTTAATATTAACAAATTGAAATGAATTCTTTTAATGCCAATTAACTTGGAGCGGCCCCTTATTAATAGTAATTTAGATTCATACTTGGAAGAAGCAGGGATGGGGGCTGGGCCAAATGTGCCCAGAATGTCAATGTGACAAGGGAGCTGGAGAACTCAGAGGGGAGGGGCAGAGGCAGTGGGACTTCTGCTGAGTTGGGGTCTGTTCCCCTCCGAGAAACGGACAACGTCACAGGAGGTGGATCTCTGGGAAACAGATTACTCTGGTATTTTGCTTTTTGTGCCTGCAATGAATCTGAAGAGGCTAAACCGCATCAAACCATTTTGATGGTTTACTTCACAGTAATGCTACAAAAAGAATCTCCTCAGAGCCGAGATTTACCCCAACTATCCTAAGCCAGACCTCGCTGACCAGAAGTGATGGGGGTCCCCAAGCCAGCTCACTCTTCCTTCTTTGTGTTCAGTCCAGCCAGAGCCGAAGATCAAAATGGGGTACCCTAATCCCTGCCGCCTCCACCTTAATCAAAAGTCAAAGAGAGGACCAAACATTGTGTTTCTTCTGGGAATCTTCTTCCAGAAGGTAAAAAACCCAACAGGCTTACCCTGAGCTAGCAGCTTACATTTAGGGGAGAAAAAAAAATCTGCTTGTACTTTGTTAGAATTTAGAGAAAAGATGAGAATGAAAAATTCACTTTGTGTACCAAAGAGTTGCCCAGAATAAAGCTAAGGAGAAGGAGCTCAGTCCCAGACTAAAAAGTCAAACAGAAATTCTGCTATCCCTGATTTTGCTGGGGCGGTCCTACTAAAAGTGCCCAGGACTAGAACCCTGAACGTAGGCTTTGACCCAAGAAGATCTTTTCTTCTTCCTAGGTGTCCCTCCTTGGCTAGGAGGGTGAGTCAAATGTGAAGCTGGGAATTATAGACATTGGGGGTGAGGGTCCTGAGATGGAGGAGAAAAGAGTGCCAAGGGGGCTGGGGAAGGGTAAGAAAATAATATAAGATGGTGAAGTTTATAAAATAAAAACTTTAAAAATTGTTTAACATATAAAAGATTAAATTTAAAGAACAAGTCAGGTTTTAAAAGGAGCTAAAATACAACAAAATTGAGAGATTAAAAAAACAAAAATGAGGATAAGGCATAAAACACTTCAAGTAAATTATTCTTCAAAAGAGGAGGGGTTGGAATTAATCAAAAGAGCCCTTGTTCACACCCGGGTAGAGTTTCCCAAACAATAAATCCATTTACCAAACAAAAAGAGAACACAAAGTAACAGTTTCACACGGAGAAAAAACAAAACAAAACATGGAGATTCAATAACAGCTAAAAAACGAGTGAGGAAGAAAAAAAAAAAGAAAGAAACTTGAAATCCGTTAACTGATTATTTGTAAATATTGAAATTGGAAGATGGGATGGAGAAAGGCGGGAAACTGACATCTTCAGAGAAGTGAAACTTGCAAAAACAGAAGGTGTAACTCATTCCCAAAGAAAAGTAAACTCTCCATAAGTAGAATACTCCTTCCCCAAAGAAGAAAATATAAAATTGATCTAAAAAGTACCACTCACCCTCCCCCAAGAAAAGTATATTAATCTGAATCTAATCTTCCCCCAAATCTGAAATAGATTATACGAAAAATAAATAAAAGGATTGCTTCCTTTCAACGAAGAGAAAAACAAAACCGGATTTAAATTGCCTAATGGGGCAGGAAGGGGGACGTTGTTTGCAGGTGCCAGAAAGGATGGGGGAGGGGGTGTTTCAGGGGAGGAAGACCCGCTTACCTTTTTCTGGAGCGACGGCCCCTAGACAGAGGTGGGCGTGGGACCCCGTGAGTGCCTGCGTGTTGGGTCAAAAGAGGAATAGGGAATCCGGGTGCCCCTGCACGAAGGAAGGGAGTGGAAGGACTGGGGGTACCCACCTCCCCACCTCCGCGCGTCTCCCTCCCTCCTGTACCCAGGCCTAGCGAGCTACTGAAAGTTACAAATTGCTTCCATTATTAGCTCATCCCGGGCGTCCTGGTCATTGGCCAACCCTGGACCACGTGGTCCGTCGTACCAATCGATCGAATTTCTAGTTGCAATTCTCTGTCTGTCCCTTGGCTCTGGGCAGGAAAGGGGGGGGCCAGTGGCGCGGGGATTGAGGAGGGGCTAAAGCGGGGGGAGTCTCCTCGCCCCCTCACCCTCCCTCTCCTCCTTGCCCCGGCTCTTGAGTGGCCGCCCCAGAAGGGGTTGAGAGAATGTTGTTGTCTGGGACACACCCGAGAGGGCACAAACTGAAGGAAGCGAAGAGACGTTGCCAGGGACCCAGGGCCCTCTCCTCCCAGTTCCCCCGGCCGGGCCGGCCCCAACTGGCCACACCCTCTTGTAGCGCCCACTCGGCCCCGGGCAGTCCCGGGGCGAGTAGCCGGGCCCCTTGTCCCGGGCGCTTGAATGTCCTCTCTCCGGATCATTGCTTCGGCCCACGCTCTGGGGAAGGTGCTTCCCTGGGGCTCGCTCTGGATCAGGCGCCTGCGCCCTCAGGGGCACCCTTCTCACGCCGACTGCCGAGTTTGCTGCGCCCCTCCTGGGACAGTTTGAGAGGCGACCAAACTTTTGAATGGATAAAAATCAAGAGGAGTCCGTCCGGAGCAGGTGAGCTGGGCTCTGGAGGGGTGCGTGCGTCTCTCCTTCTCTCTGTCTCTCTCCGTCTCTCTCTCTCTCTCCTCCTTACTCCATCCCGCTTCCCCTGCTGCCCCCCACCTCGGAGGAATTTGGGCTGGGGACGGGCGTGTGTCAGGTGAGTGGGTCCAGAGCAGCTTTCCTCCCCTGAGTTTGGGGACTAAGGTGGGAGCTGGCAGAGGTAGGAGAGGGACTGCTTCTGAAACTGGGGAGGGTGGGAGAAATTGGGGGCCTAGAGACCCGAAGAGTCTGAGTGTGATTATTTCTTTCTGCAAACGCAACTTGCGGGAACTTCAGAAAAGTTTTTTGAAGGAAGATGGAGAAGGGAGCAGAGTTGGGGTTTTGAGGTTTAACGTGGGAGGGAGGAGCGCTGTGCTTCCTATACTGAAGGATGCATTTGCTGTTTCCCAGTCAGGGTGTATTATCAGTGTCCCGAACCTGCTCACCCAGCAAACTCTTAGAGACGCTTGGAGATCCCCACTGGGGTCTCCGCAGAAAGGGAGAGAAGTACCAGCCAAAAATAGCGGTTTCCCACTCTCCCGAGGAGGGGGGGTGGGGGCGGGGTTATTGTCCTGGAGCCCCAGCTCTGGGCAACCTCAGCCCCTGCTGCGCCGGGACCAGTCGCCGATTTTAAGTTAGGATGACACGAGAGAGGGAACAACTCCCAAATTTCTTCTTCTTTTCCTTGTAAACCAATTTTGATCCAGAGATTCATCTCCCTAAGATGGAGTCAGAGGAGTGTCCCTCTCCGTCCTCCCCCCGCCCCCAGCACAATCTTCCTCCTTTCTCCAGCGCTCAAGGGAGGGCAAGGAAAAGAGCCCCTTACCCCGTCCCGGGGCTGAGATTGCCCCCCATCCACACACAAGGGAAGTCCCCGGAGGAAGAGATGGCTCTTCTAAAAGGAGTCAAGGGCAGAGGGTGGTTTCAGACGGCGCGGCTGAACTTGGGCCTCCCGGGTCGAGATTCGGGGGGGGGGGGGGGGGGGGGGG